AAGACTAGAAACGGAACACAGAAAGTACTTCAACAAAGAATGGGTTTAAGAAACAGAATTTGTCATCTCTACTGTCAGGATTAAAACCCTTATCCTAAACAAAAGGTATATATCAAAGTGTAAGATAAGAAAACAATGGGATTCATTTGAGAAAAGGGAGACAAAAGGAAACAAATTCCTAAGAGAAATTTATGGAGAGACATTTAGTTAGATTAGAATAAAATTAAACTTCAAATTAAAATATTATATATAACAAATAATTATAATTAGAATAATATAATAAGGGTTATGAGGCTAACCAAGACAACAAAAATTAGTAATACTAAAAATAATACTAGAATCATACTAGTAATAATACTAGTAATAATATTAGAATAGCAGCTATAATAGTACAATTGTTATAGATATAAAATTCTTAAATATAAGCATAACATAGAAACAATAGTTCAGTTTAAGATTAGTCTAAAGCAAACCAAAGTTCTTAAGATTAGCCTAAGTGCTTAAGTAAGAGAAATAATGAAGTATTCCTATAAAATATTTCATAATATTCATTTTAACATGTATGGGGGCTAGAGAGAGATAGTAAAGTGGTTAAGAAATATGCCCACACCACATGGTCCCCAGAAATTTACTGGGTACAGCCCTAAAGGCCCCCAAGCACTGCCAGGTGTGACCTTGGCCAATCCCAAGCACTACCAGAGTAGTGCAGTAATTCCATGCACCACAGGAACCGAGTAGAACTTACTTCTCTGCTGGCTGAGAATTGCTAGTAAGAGACCTCCAACCTACTGGCATTGTTTGGGATACCCCACACACACCAGAACAAAATTAACTTTAAAATACAATTATAGGGACCGGAGTGATAGCACAGCGGGTAGGGTATTTGCCTGGCATGCAACAAACCCAGGTTCCATTCCCAGCATCCCATATGGTCCCCCAAGCACCGCCAGGAGTAATTCCTGAGTGCAGAGCCAGGAGTAACCCCTGAGCATTGCTGGGTGTAACCCAAAAAGCAAAAAAAAAAAAAAAAACACCAATTACATGCACCTAAGGACATGTATGTATTCATGCAGGCTTACAAGCATAAAATGAGAAATAGCTGCGATAAAAATGTAGGAAAAAATTATTCTGTGACATACAATAGCACAGAGATATACGCTAAACAAAATGACAATTATGAAAATTAGTCCTGAAATGACTACCATGGTGAAACTACTAGTAGCACTGTAGCACTGTCCTCCCGTTGTTCATCAATTTGCTCATGCAGGAACCAGTAATGCCTACATTGTGAGACTTGTTGTTACTGTTTTTGGCATATCAAATACGCCACAGGGGGCTTGCCAGGATCTGCTGTGCAGGCGGGATACTCTCGGTAGCTTGCCAGGCTCTCGGAAAGGGATGGAGAAATTGAACTCAGGTCAGCCGTGTCAAGGCAAACGCCCTACCTGCTGTGCTATTGCTCCAGCCCAAACTACTAATAATCACTAAATTAACATTATGAATGGGTAAAAAAAATTAAGTTAAAGAATGAGTAAGAAAATCTTGAAATTCAAGAATTTTAACTTATATTTTAACTTAAAAAGTTTTAAGTTAAAGCAAAATGAGTACATAAAGGTTTAACAAAATGTTACCTATTTTTATATAAACATTTAAAATCTGTCAAAAATTTCCACATATGAAAAAAATCATTAACATTTTCCACTTAGTTAATCTAGTCTAAAAAGATAAAGAGCTCTGCTTCTTTCTCAGTCCTCCTTTTTAAAAAATGTGGTTGCTACAGATGATTTACCCTTGAGACAAGTATTCACTCTGAGTTACCTCACAGGCCACTCTGTCTTTTTTTGAAGAAAAGTAAAGTGCCATCAATATTTGTTAAATTTACTTTTAAAGGAAAGGTATCAAAAAATAAATACATGAAGCAAACATGTAAAGAGCAGTTACTTTTTGTACAGTTCAAAACAAAGTCCTTTTGTGATCTTACCTGCAATCTTATCAAGTTATTCTGAAAACTATTTATGTGAATGTAGTATAGAAGACAATTTTAATATAGCCCAAAGAGTTAAGAAATTAACCTGTTCACAAAAGTTTTTTATATTTGACCCTATTTTTTTTAATTTTTAACAAGACTTTTTTTTCCTTAAATAATTTTACTTTCGAAACCAAATGAACTTAAATAAACATGAAGGTATCAACAAAGTAATATGCTCAATTCCATTTATACTATATCTTAGTCTCCAAACAATCCTTGTTATCTTTTCATCACTCCAGATATTTAAAGGTACTAGACTTAAAAGAATAGAGAAAATATATTGGAGACAAAAATAAAGGAGCACTACATTGTTGCTTCTCCACAATTAATGTCAAGAGTTTATTACAGTTTTGGCCATCAGGTCAAAAGCAGACATATCTCCCTAGAACTTCAGTTTTTTAAAGAAGAAGAAAATAAAAATAATTTGCTATTAACTATGTGATATAACTTAATAACTTCACTAAAAGCAGTGATGTATGAATCTCAAGCTTCCATTTTACTCATTTTGTTAAAGGCTTTCATTTCAAAACTTTTCCTCCACTTAATAAAATCTTATCAAAAAATTAATCAAATTCTCAATAAATTTGAATTTAACACATTAAAAAAAATCTTATGAAGGTGGCTACTGTTAGATATTTATGTCTGTACATATGAGCATGATTTACAGATGAGAGCTTGTGAGAACATAGAGATAGCAATAAGTTCTTCCCTTGCTGACTTGGGTTTTATCCCTGAACACAGAACCAGAAGTAAGAAGCCCTAAGCACAGCCAGCTGTGGCTCCCAAAAAAAGAGGGGAGAGAAGAGGGGTAGAAGAGGGAGAGGAAGAGGGACGGAGGGGGGAGGGGAAGGAAGAGAGGACACAATTTATTTTCCTGAAAGAGAGCAAGGAGGTGTGAGAGGATAGAAATAAAGCAAAAAGAAAAATATCAAACTAAACTCCACTAAAAGTAAAAACTTTTAGTTATCTGGAACGATTCCAAAAATATTTTAGCAAGAAGGCATATGTAAGTAATTGTTTTCGTTTTAAACCCTTCAAATGACATTCTTACCTCCTTCATTCACATACAGTAATCCAAAAATATTTTTCTGAGAACACTACCCCCCACCCCACCGCCCCCTTCAACCTAATTCTAAAAAAAGCGAAGACTAAATTGTTCACAGGAATCCAGCAACTGCTACAAGTGGAGACAACCTGATGATATGAAGTGATTTTATACCACTTCCAACATGCAGGAGGCAAAAATGTTAAAATAAAATTTTTATTGCTGAGATAACGGGAAAAGCTAAAGGGAAAAGGAAAAAATAGCAGACTTTTCTGATTTGTGTACTTTGGCTTACAATTTCTTTTACCTAGAAAATAGTTCTCCAATTGTAGAAACCTGAAATAAAAGATGAACCCAAATGTCATATCCTCTATATGTTCTTCCTTTCCCTCATGCAAGATTCTCTCTCACTGTGACATGGTCATGTCCTACTGACTATTTTATAATATATCAGTTACAGTTTATGCTTCATTTACATATTGATGGGCTGGAGCGATAGCACAGCGGGCAGGGCGTTCGCCTTACAAGCGGCCAACATGGCCGACCCAAGTTCGATTCCTCCGCCCCTCTCGGAGAGCCCGGCAAGCTACCGAGAATATCCAATATGCCAGACACAGTAACAACAAAGTCTCCAATGGAGACATTACTGGGCCCGCTCGAGCAAATCGACGATCAACGGGAGGGCCTTTACCTTTACCTTTACATATTGATAAAGCTGTTACTATTCATGTAAATGTATGTTTATATATGCATTCTAGAGAGAGACTATATATGCATATATATTCTATACATATGTTCTAGTTCCTTGGTCTTCCTAACACAGTAAGTACCTTGTATATAGAAAGTCACTGTCACTGTCCTGTCACTGTCCTCCTGTTGTTCATCGATTTGCTCGGGCGGGCCCAATAACATCTCCATTGTGACAATTGTTACTGTGGTTGGCATATCGAATACGCCACGGGTAGCTTGCCAGGCTTTGCTGTGCAGGCGAGATACTCTCGGTAGCTTGCCAGGCTCTCCGAGAGGGGCGGAGGAATCGAACTCAGGCCGCCCATCTTGGCCGCTTGCAAGCAAACGCCCTACCCGCCGTGCTATCGCTCCAACCCATATAGAAAGTACACAGAAATATTATTTAAATTAACTCAACTGCAAATGGTAAAGTCTAAAAAATTAATTCAGGAATACTTTATTCATAAAAGAAGTTGCTATATTTATTCTAAAACATACTGAGGGTTTCACAGAATGCCATGCATGTCCAGGCACTCCAAGTTAGAGACAAAGCAGAGATCAGAGCAAACCAAACATACCGTAAACTTTATCTCTATATCGTATAAGGCTATGGCTTAAATTTAGAAAAAGTCGCTCATCATTTCCATGAAAAACACACTATATGTGTATAATATAAGGCAGGAATAGACAACATCTAATAATAGAAGATTAAACATATCTAACTAGCCCAGGAAGTAGCAGAAAATATAGGCACATTTAACTTTCCAACATGATTATGAACACATCTCTTACATGTTGAAGAATTTTAAGTAAAATGTCACACAAACCATAATTTGAAATAGTTCTCCAAAAGGTAGACACTAAACCACATTTGGGGCTTGAAGTTCTCAAAATAAAGTTAAAAACAAACATTTACTTATATATATATATATATATATATAGAGAGAGAGAGAGAGAGAGAGAGAGGGAGAGAGAGAGAGATGTTTACAGTGTCTATAGAGCAGTATGAATCAGTATTCTATTAAAGACTGTAAAAGAAAAAAGTTGAAAGGGTCCAAGAGACTATAGTGGAAGATATTACCACTTTAGTGGTAGGTGTGTTATAGTCAATATTGTGACTATCTCTAAACATATAAATATTTAAAATCTTGGAAACCAATGTTACCTCAACAGATAATATTTTTTTAAAATACATACTTCTATGTTGAGATTGATGGAAAGAGTACGTTTTGCTTCTTTCTGGAGAATAGCTTCTACTACTGACACTGGAGCCAGATCTGCTATGTGGAGAATCTTTTCGGCCTACAGGTGATTCTCTGAAAAAAGTGTCTCTTTTATGAGGAGATCGGTCTCTCACATAATGGGAAGAGTAGAAACTTTTTCTTCTGAAGCCATCTCTCATGTCCCTTTAAAGTAAAAATAAAGTAAATTAATTATGTCCCGTACCTTACATGTATAAACAAACAACAAAAGCTCTGACTGCAAACTACTAAATTTGCCACCTGGCTTCAGAAGTCAGTACACAGCATTGTGTGAATGAAATATAATTTAGACTGTTCCTCCCACCCACAAAAATGAGCCAAATGACAAAGTACAATTATTCTAAGCTAGCATTAAATATTTTTTCTTTGTTTTTGTTTTTTGTCTTTTACTGAATCGTCGTTACAGTTACAGACTTAGATACTTTCAGATTATGTTTCAGTCAAACAATGATCGAGCACCCATACATCCACCAGTGCCCATTCTCTACTACCAATGTTCCCAGGATCCCTCCCATCACCCTCACCTTATCCCACCTTATCTCTATCTCTGTGGTAGGAACATTCCCTCTTACTCTTTCTCTCATTTTGGGTGTTATGGTTTACACTACAGGTACTAAGAGGCCATCATGTTTGGTCCTTTATCTACTTTCAGTACACATCTCCCACTCAAGTGACTCCTCCAACCATCATTTACTTAGTGGTCACTTCTCTATCCCAGCTGCCTTTTTCCCCAACACGTGAGGCCAGTTTCCAAGTCATGGAGCGATCCTCGTGGCCTTTATCTCCACTGTCCTTAGTTGTTAGTCTCCTATGTTACTTTATATTCCACAAATGAGTGCAGTCATTCTATGCCTGTCCCTCTCTTTCTGACTCTTTTCACTTAGCATGATACTCCATGTCCATCCACATTATAAGTAAATTTCATTATTTCATCTTTCCTAACAGCTGCATAAGTATTCCATGGTATAGATGTACCAAAGTTTCCTTAACTAGTCATCTGTTCTCAGACACTCGGGTTTTCTCCAGATTTTATCTATTGTAAAGAGTGCTGCAATAAACAACAAGTGCAGATGTCATTTCTACAGTATATTTTTGCATTCCCAGAATATGTTCCCAGGAGTGGTATTGCTGGGTCATATGAGAGCTCAACTTCTAGTTTTTGGAAGAATGTCCATATTGTTTTCCAAAAAGACTAGACCAGTCGGCATTGCCACCAACAATGAATGACAGTTTCTTTCTCACCGCATCTGCACCAGCACTGGTTGTTCTTGTTCTTACTGATGTGTCCCAGTTTCTGTGGTGTAAGATGGTATTTTGTTGTTGTTTTAATTTGCATTTCCCTTATAATTAGCAATGTACAGAATTTTTTCATGTGCCTTTTGGCCATTTAAATTTCTTTTGTGGAAGTTTCTGTACATTTCTTCTCCCCATTTTTGATGGGGTTGGAGGATTTTTTTCTTATACACTTCTACTGTCTTCTATATCCTGGATATTAAGCCCCTAACTAATGGATATTGGATAAATAATTTTTCACATTCCATGGGCTCTTTCTGTATTTTGGTCACTGTTTCTTCTTTTAATTTTTTTATTTTATAAGGTAGTTCAAAATATATGATTACATTTAATATTCAAACACCAATTCCACTACCATTACACCTTCCCACCACCAAATTTGGGATGTTTCCATCACAACACCGGATCCCTGTCCCAAAGCACAACCAAAATAATATATTTTGTACTATCTGTTATGAAGAACCACTGAAAATGCTTACAAAAAAGTATTCATATAGGAAACAGTGTGAAGATTGTCCTATTTTGGCAGGGGCTATTAAGACATTCTTTAGGATATCGCTAACATGTTAAAGACTGACGGAGATATATGAAAATATGTATATATGTATGTATATATATATTTTTTTTCCTCTATGATTTGCTGCCTACTATCTGAACCCCATCAAATATAGTGTGGTACTTATGAAGAATGGGTAGGGAGTGTCTGATGATGTGTCATGCAGCCTCAAATATGTTCACTTATGTGTGAGCACGTAGGGAGCAGCCTTGAGCGTGGCGACAGTTGGGTTCTGGAAGTTTCGGCTGCCGGGGCTGGGTCCCTTGGGTCAGCAAGGGCTCTCACCCGTTCCCCTCTGGGGTGCCCTAACACTGATTCTTTTAAGAAGCAGAAGCTTCTTAGTTTAATGTAATCCCATTTATATATTTGTTTCCACTTGTTTAGTCAGTGGTGTTTCTTCCTTGAAGATGCTTTGAGCTTCAATATCATGGAGGGTTCTGCCGACATTTCCCTCCATGTACCTTATGGATTCAGGTCTGTTATTGAGGTCTTTAATCCATTTGGATCTGACTTTTGTGCTTGACATTAGACAGAGGTCTGAGTTCATTCTTTCGCATGTACCTGTCCCAGTTTTCCCAGCACCACTTGTTGACGAGGCTTTACTTGGTCCATTTCACATTTCTTGCTTCCTTATCAAAGATTAAGTGAACGTATACTTGAGAGTCTGTGTCAGAATATTCAGCTCTGTTAAATGGTCTGTGGGTCTGTTTCTATTCCAATGGCAAGCTGTTTTAATTACTACTGCTTTGTAGTAGCTTGAAGTTGGGGAAGTGATGCCACCCATCTTCTTATTACTCCATATGAATTTCAGGAGTGTTTTGTCTATTTCTTTGAAAAATGTCATGGGTATCCTTATGAGGAATACATTAAATCTGTATAATGTTTTAGGGAGCATTGGCATTTTGATGGTGTTAATCCTCCCGATCCATGAGCAGGGGATGTGTTTCCATTTCCTAGTGTCCTCTTTTATTTCTTGAAGTAGAATTTTGTAGTTTTCTTTGTATAGGTCCTTCACCTCTTTTGTTAAGCTGATTCCAAGGTACTTGATTTTCTGAGGCACTATAGTGAACAAGATTTTTTTTTTCATTATCTCTTTTTTCTATTTCATTACTTATATATAGAAAAGCCCTGGACTTTTCGGTACTGATTTTGTAACCTGCCACTTTACTATGCAAGCCTATTATTTCTAGGAGCTTCTTGGTAGAGGCTTTAAGGTCCTCTAAGCATAGTACCGTGTCATCTGCAAACAGTGAGAGCTTGATTTCTTTCCTATCTGGTGCCCTTGATATCTTTTTCTTGCCTAATTTCTACAGCAAGTACTTTCAGTACATACTGAATAGAAGTGGTTAAAGGGGGCAACCTTGTCTTGTTACAGATCTTAGAAGGAGGCTCTGAGTTTTTCTCCATTGAGAATAATGCTTGCTGTGGGCTTGTGGTGATGGCTTTGACTATATTGAGGAAAGCTCCTTCAACTCCCATTTTGCTGAGAGTTTTTATCATAAATGGGTGCTGGATTTTATCAAATGCCTTCTCTGCATCTATTGATGTAACCATATGGTTTTCTCTTTCCTTCTATTGATATATTTGTTAGCATAAAATATTTTTAATATGAAAAACATGGTCATATATTCCCTACTTATGTTCTACTAAATATAAACTACACAGGTACCACAATATCAAAGACAATTAGAGTATACCTAAGATTTCTCATGAGAGATTTCATGGCATATTATGGATATATATAATACAAGATGACAAACCAGCAATAATCAACATCTGTGTTTTCACAAATGAAAGGGAAGGAATCACTGGTGAATAGGGACCAAAAACTAACATCCCAAAGATACTGACCATGCCAAGTCAGATGAGTCAGTGCTCAGGAGTTCTGGTGCCAAAGAACACTACAGCCACCTGATGGTGCTGAGGGAATGCAATGCTTTAAAGGGGGATGCCTATATCAACCTGGTCCAGAATATAGGGGAAAGAAAGAAAGTGTGGAGGGATGGGGGATACAAAAAACAAGAAGCAATGGTAGTGAACTTGACACTGGTGATGGGATTGGTGCTACAAGATTGTATGTCTAAAACTTGATTTTGTAAATCACGGTGCTTTAATAAAATTCAAAAATGCAAAATTGGCAGAGATGCCTTCAGATTCTGTGCCAGCTGAGTCTCATCCAGAGCACCCTGGAGGGGCCTGGGTGAGCCTATCACCCAACCAAAAAAAGACTCGGCAGCCGAAAACCTCCAGAACCCAATCAACACCATGCTCACAGCAGATCTTCACAGGCTCAGGACAAGCCTCATCCATGAATGAGTCTGCTGAAAAACTCAGGTATGCAGGTATTCACCAAAATCTCCAGGCTCTCACAGAGTCGGGAATGGGGGACCTTCCCCATCTCCCTGTTCTTCAGGAGCCTGGTGGTCATGCTCAAGAATTGCCTCTGATACCATATTAGCTCATTAATGGCCATGATCTAGAGACTCATAAATAAATCTCAAAAGACAGCCACAAGCTGCAAAGATGTCTCCAAACCGCAAAGTCATCATCTAGTTAAAAATTTAACTCTAGCTCTATCACCCCATTCAAAATATTAGAATTCCTGGGGCAACATTTAAAACTCTAATTACCACTAATTAAAACCATTTAAAACCACTAATGTACCAAGAGTAGCACACACCATTGGATAGGGGTGTAAAGTAGAAGGCAACCAATCTGTATTTAGAAAATATATTTATTCCACACAGGGCTCAACCTATAACAACATGTTTGTAATCTCTTATTCAAGGGTTTAATGGCTCCACATTGAGATACACCAATCTCCACACACTTTTTTCTAAAGAAACTTTTCTGATCATTTTTAGTGAATTATTCATAACAAAGAATACAAAATTAATCATTTAGAGCATCCATTTGGGGCAGTCTTGGGTGGTGGTTGGGAAAAATTCAAAATAATGGTGGTGGGAAGGTATAACGGTGATGGAACTGGTGTTGGAATATTAAATGTAATATATTGTTTAGAACAACTTTGTGAAAATAAAATTTTAAAAAACAAATTAAAATGCAAAATAAATAAAATGGCTAAAGGCAACACAATGGGAGAACTGCTCCACAAAACTGGGAATGATGGGGGTGGAGAAGGGGGGAGGGAGGGAGGGGTAAAGAGAAGGGGGGGATGTTAAAAGGGAAGGGTGTCTCTTGTCGGAGGGAGGAAGGGAAGGAGGGAGAGAGGTACACTGGTGGTGGGGTATGGTGTTATAGTGATGTGCATAAGAAACCATTATTAACAGTATTG